CAATCAAGGTGCATGCAGTGGATGCTCTCGATTTGTTTGTTCAACGAGCGCCGTTGGTTGATCTCCAGGACTACATTGGTGACGCAGGCATCTTCATCTCCTCCAGCGACTACGACGCCACGAAAGGAGTTGCGATGGAGAGCATGAAACACTTTGAGCAGGCCAGCCGCTCTCTCAATGCAGGTCTCAACACAGACAAACTTCCCATCATGGCGACGACCGAGGATCTTGCTAAAGATGTTTGCGAATCATTGGGGCTGTCGCCCAGTGTATGCACATCTAGCGTGGCGTATCTTGGTATCGATGAGTCTGCGGGGGCTAGGAGACATGGACAGCGTGCTCGACTGAAACAGCGTGGGCGTTTCACTTTAATGCGTAAAAGATTTCGAAAGGTTAGAGCCCTCCGAAGGCGTTTCAAGGGACCCAAAGAGACCCCCCTTCAGAAAGGTTGCCCGCCAAGGAGTTGCCCCTGCCTGTAGCTTTGGGGTAGAAGTCTCGGGTCTCGCGGCCTCGGAGCGGCTCAGCCCCAGGAGGTTAATGGCCCACAGCAATGGCCCAAGTCATGGATGGGGTGTCTTTGAGGGCCAAGGTGGCCCTTCTTGGAGACAGTAGTGGTATATTAGCTGTGGCACCAGTGTTACAACGGCGTCGAATGATATGGACCGCTTCGCGGCGACCCACTCTGTCATTAGTTCCGCGAGCTGAGCTTCTCAGGCTCTGGGACCTATCCAAGCCTGGTGAGTGCGTTTCGTGGAATAGGTCCCAGGGCCCGATAGCTCGAGCAGTTTTATGTATCAAGAGGGCTGGTTGGCGAGCGGATGGCCCCTTGAAGTGGTATGACCACAACGGCCTTGAGGTCGAGATAGAGACCACCCCACCGCCCCTCCTCATGGACATGATGGAGCAAGGTTTGCAGCGCCAGCGTGAGTTAGACCTGGCGAGGCACCTAGGCTTTTCTGAAGGCTCTCGTGCGACCCTCGACCTCCTGAGGGATACGGTAGCACCGAGAGCCAAGCGATTTTCACGATGCCAGAAGTATTTAATCCAAACTTGTGGATGTGGTGGGTTGTGGACGAACGATAGGGCTATGCGTGCGGGTTGCGTGTGTGATGGGTTGTGTGTGTGCGGCCGACCTGACGCAGTCCGCCACAGGTTATATAGTTGTCAGCTCCCTCGTGTTGTCGAGGCGCGCGAAGCTTCTGAGGTGCCGTGCGCTTTCCTCAACGCTGTTCTAAGCTACTCTGACCTGCCAATTTTCACGAGCGGTGTCCACGTGCACACCGACAGTGAGTTGCCCTGCCCTTTGGTTTCGTCTGAGGTTTACCTGTATGACAGGGAGGGCAACGCACTGGACATGCAGCCAGAAGAGATAGCGAGTATGACCAGCTCAGCGCCGCTGCGTCTGGCTTCCGACGGGTCAAGCAGTAGGCCATTTATTCGGCCACTGCAGCGAGCTGCTTGGGCTGTGGCTGTTTGTCCTGATGCTGGCGAAGACCCTGTGGCGATCGTCAAAGGCGTGGCCCCAGGGTCCTTGCCGCAAGCACCAGCCATGGCGGAGCATGTAGGGATTGCGATGTGTGGACAGATTGCCACGCGACCAGCTGGACTCGGAGCTGATTGCACGGCGGCAGTGCGCCTCGCTCAGAAGGGTGTAGATGCCCAGCTAGCGGCTAGCGTTGTCAAACAAGTTTGCTGGCATTCGAGCTTTTGCGCAGCAGCTCGAGGGCACGGCCATGATCCACACGATCCTTCATGTCAAGGCCCATCGAGAGCGAGAGCAGATATAATCCCTGGAAGGGGTCGAGCGGATGTATGCCGAAGCCAACGCGGCTGCGGATCGGTATGCCGAAGATGGTCTCAGTCTGCATCCCAGCCCCTCGCCAGCCTTTTTACAGGAGCTGGATTTAGCTGGCGAGCGGGCTGGTTACTCCATGAAGCTTGCAAGTGCGGTGCTCCCCCCTTTTTGAGAATGAAGTTCGGTGGGCAAGGCCTCATCGAATACTTTCTGGACGATCACGGCGAAAGACGTCGTGGCACAAGTGGGAGCATGGCCCACTTGGCACTCAATGTATGCTTTGTTTTCGAGTGCTCAGTCGCCCAGAGAACGAAGCGCCTATGGATGGATGTCCTGGGTTGCCGCATTTTCTCAAGAAGTTGCTCCAGGATCCCATGGGACACACTCTCGTCGCCATGGCGGGGACGTTGGCTCGACAAGCTGGTGGTGGCTCGGAGTCGTGTCGTGATGCGTCCAAGGAGCAGTTATTGTGCCTTCGTTGCGGTGGATGGTCCCAGGGGAGGAGAATCAAGCTCAGTCGGAGTTGTGTGGCCCCCACGCGTAAAGGGTTAGACGTCTTGGCTGAGCATCGGAAGGGTCATTGTCCGAACCCGAGAGTTCGTGCGTTCGTTGATCGTGCGGTTCCTTTCCAGAGGCTGCGCCTCTCCGCCGACCCTCCGTATCAGGACGCCCCCGCGGTGGTGATGACTTCCTTCTCCAGTACTGATGCGGCCCCTCCCTATGAGCAACGAATGGCTGCCTTGTTCGAACGAATTCGCATCAAGGAGTTGGCCAGAGAGGCCCAATCTAAGGGATAAGCTTTGATCCTCACCTCGGGTGCAGGTAATATCCCAGTCTGTTGTGTCAGTCTGTTCGCTAGCATATTTAGTGCTGTGCACTCCCCCGTCCGCGGGCACTTCCGTTCCGTTCCGTTCCGTTCCTCCTCCTCCTCATGTTGCTGCTGGTGCTGCTCCTCCTGGGTATCCTTCCCCCCTGCCTCGCCTGCGCCGCTTCCCCCTCCCTTCCCCGTCCGCCTCCATGCGCCTCGCCTCCTTCCGTCGTCTCCGTCGGCGCCCTCCTCTCAGGAGGGAGAGAGCACAGGCACAAATGATTGTCGTTTCCCATGGAAATATGAGAAAAGATACTAAGTGGGAGGGATGGCGACCATCCAGAAAATGCGGAAAGTATGGGGAATCCTGGTAGTTGTGTGCATGTATAGATGTGTATATATACAAAAACGTCTATATGCACATATCTATATATCCTTGAGGGTTTCGCCCACTTGCCGCCGGCCCCCCTCTCTTAGACTGAGACTTGCCAGAGCTGTGTTGGGATGTCTGGACGCTGACGTGAAGCAATGTCGGGACTTAATTAACACGAGGGCAAATGTTAATTACGAGGGTGTATGGCTTCGGTGGCGCGGGTATCATGTAACTTGCGATGGCTTATGATTTCGGGGACGCGAATTTTGTTCAATATAAGCGGGTTGATGTGGCCTCGGGGGCGCATTTGTTGAATACTTTGCGAGGGGTTATGGCCACGGGGGCGCAACGATTGAATACTTTACAAGGGTGTATGGCCTCGGGGTCGCGAGTATGGTGTAATGTGCGAGGGTTCGTGGCATCGGGATACCAGCCGGGTGTAATTTGCAACGGTTTATGGCCCTGGCGACGCGAATCTAGTATAATGTTTGGAAGGTTTATGGCTTCGGGGGCGCGAGCATTCCGCAATTTACGTGGGTTTATGGTTTCGGGGGCGCGAATATGGTGCGTTTCGTAAAAAAGATTATGGCTTCGGGGATGCGACTATTGCATCATTTACGAAGGATCATGGCTCCGGGGACGCGAATCCTGTGTAATTGGGGAAGGCTTATCGCCTTAGTGACGCGAGTATGGTGCAATTTACTTGGGATTAAGGCCTCGGGGACGGGAATCTCATGTATGTTTACATTCCACGCTCCCCCAGGAATTCAGACATCGCGATTTGGGCGTGGTGAAAAAGCTGATTCGGGGCTCCCCCCCCTCGCGCGTTCAGCAACAATTCACAGTAAGGAAGCACAAAGCAGGCAGTGGAAACTGGAAACTGCAACTGGAAGAGGGAGCTGCAATCCTCACCCTCGCAGCCTGTTGGTCCCGCAAGGGGGCCTGCATATATATATATATATATATATATATATATATGTATATATATACATATATATACATATACATATATACAAATGCGTATGCGTGTATGTATGTATGTATGTATGCATGCATGTATGTATGCATGCATGCATGCATGCATGCATGTGTGTATGTATGTATGTATGTATGTACTTACATATGTATGTATGTATGTATGTATGCATATGTGTATGTATGTATGTATGTATGTATGTATGTATGTATGTATGTATGTATGTATGTATGTATACATCTATCTATGTGTGTATGTATGTATGTACGTACGTACGTATGTGTGTATGTATGTATGTATGTATGTGTGTGTGTATGTATGTATGTATGTATGTATGTATGTATGTATGTATATATATGTGTATATATATACGTATGTAGGTACGTATGCATGCATGCCTGCATGTAGGTGTTTAGACATGTAGGTCTGCAGGTGTGTAGGTATGCAGGCATGCATGCATGCATGCATGCATGCATGCATGTATGTATGTATGTATGTATGTATGTATGCCTGTATGTATGTATGTATGTATGTAGGTAGGTAGGTATGTATGTGTGTGTATATATTTATGGTTGTATGTATGTATGTATGTATGTATGTATGTATGTATGTATGTATGTGTGTATGTGTGTATGTATGCATGCATGCATGCATGTCTGGATTAATGTATGTATGTATGTCTGCATGCATGCATGCATGTATGTATGTATGCATGTATGTAGATAGGTATGTACGTATGTATGTCTGTATGTATGCATGCATGCATGCATGTATGTATGTATGTATGTATGTATGTATGTATGTATGTATGTATGTATGTATGTATGTACGTGTGTGTGTGTCCCTGGTTCCACTATTCTCGTCCTTGCGCTCGACGCTGCGCGCGCTCGTGTCTCTTTGAGACGCCGCACTACCTCCTCCTCCTCCTCTTGAACTCCTCCTCGTTGTGTTCATCCTCCTCCCTCCTCGTCGCCGTCGTTTTCGTCCTCGTCGTGTTGGCCCTCCGTCCCCGCCCTCCTCGCCCTGCCCCCCTCCTCCGCCGCCCCAGGCCGCCAAGGGCGCCTTCAGCCCGGTTCTGGAGCCCTTGCGGGACTTCGACCCCCAGGACCTGCTCGACCCTGAGGAGGACGAGCGGATCATGCGCCAGGTTCGGGCGCTCTGGGGCGCTGGGCGAGCCTCGCCGTGGTCGCCGTGGCCGTCGGCGCCGCCGCCGCCGTCGTCGTCTTCTGGGATGGGCGGATGGGCTCCCAAACTCAGGGATGGGCGGATGGGCTCCCAAACTCAGGGATGGCGATTCTTTCTCCGTCGCTTCCCGCAGCAGTCTCAGTCAAGAGGGGTGTCGTCTGCCGGTCCAGGATCCCGAGGCCGGGCAGGTGGCACTCGGCGGAGAAGCATTGCGCATGCGGCTGTCTGCTGGAGATCTCTGCGGGCCCTAACTTTTTGGGGGAGAGGGGAGCGAGGAGGAGAAGCGGAGCAGGAGGCGCGGGAGCGAGCGAGCGAGCAGCAGGAGGGCGCCCGAGTGCACGAGCACCCACGTGAGTGTGAGACTTGATCGATGCAAAAAACGGGGTCGTCTGTGCCGACACTGGCGCGTAAGCTGCCCGCGTAAGTTCGCGCGTAAGAGCCCTCGTCTCCAATGCAGCGTGCCGCGCCGGCGGCCCGCGTAAGCTGCGGCGTAGGGTCGTTGTGTCATCTCGCGCAAGACCCGTTTTTGATCGCCGCTCGCCTGAGGAGGCCGCAGGTGCGGCGCAATTGCACAGCCTGGGAGGAGGAGGAGGAGGAGGAGAAGGAGGAGGAGGAGGGGAGGAGGAGGAGGAGGAGGAGGGGAGGGGGGGGGGAGGAGGGAGGGGGAGGAAAAGGAGGAAAGGAGGAAGAGGAGGAGGAGGAGGAGGAGGAGGAGGTGGAGGAGGAGAAGGAGGAGGAGGAGGTGGGGGAGGGGGAGGGGGAGGGGGGGGGTGGCGCTTCGGGCAAACCATGACCTGGAACCCCCCGAGGCCCACCAGAGGCCGTTCATGAGGACAGGACACGGGGCAGTATCAGCGTGCCTCAGCCTTCCTCGCTGACGGCGCCTCTCGGACAAGTGTCGAGTCCACGGCTGATCGTGTCGATCGCCGTGAGTTGGTCGCGCCTTGCGCTCGTGCGTGCGTGCGTGCGTGCGTGCGCGCGCGTGTGTGTGTGTGTGTGTCTGTTCGGAAACTGGAGCATATACATTACCAGTGGCAGGCTCAGTTATTTGACAGTCACCACAATACGGCGGACAAATCCTGCCCCCACCCCAGAAAGGAGGGCGCCAGGCATAGCACCACACGTGGACCCAACACATCTGCACCAACGCCAGCTCCTACACCAGCGCCGACGTCAGCAACGACTCCAGCACCAACGCAGGCCATCTGACGACAACGCACCAGAGGATGTATTAATCAAACATGGCTGCGAGGACAAAGTTGACCAAGACAAGAGTTCCCGACTGACCCCACAGCCCCTCCCAATGCCCTCTTCCCGCTGTCTTCCCACCCCCACCTCCACCTACCAACCTCCAGCCGCCACCCACTCCAGCGCCTACACCAGCGCAGAGGCCAACACCGGCCCCAGCCCCGCCCCGCCCCGGCGCATTCGCCAGCTCCGACACCAGCACCCTCGCCATCATCAGCGCTTGGACCTACGACGTCGGCACTCACGCCAGCGCCTACACCAGCACCGACGTCAGCACCGACTCCAGCACCGACGCCGGCCATCTGACGACAACGCACCAGAGGATTCATTAATCAAGCATGGCCGCGAGGACAGGGTTGACCAAGACAAGGGCGACCGACTGGTGCGCAAACTATAGTACACCGACGCCTACACCAGTACCGATGCCAGCACCGAGATCCAATCGGCTACCATGATTCCTCCAGCACGTGCCACTCACAGGTGCCATGTTCGACTCACCATTTCACTTACACCAGCGCCGACGCCAGCACTGACGTCAGCACGAACGCCGGCGCCTGCGTCAGCACCAACGCCAGCGCTTACACCCACCAGCACCGATGTCATCACCGACACCAGCACCAACGCCGACGCCTACACAGGCACCGATGCCTGCACTGACGCCAGCAGAAACTCCTGCAATGGCGCCCGCACCAACGCCAGCGCCGACGCCTGCACCGATGCCAACACAGACTTCCGCACCTGCGCCGGTACCAATGCCGGCACCTGCACCAGCCGCGGCACGACGAATACCACTCGCAGCACGACAGATACCAAGAGCTTCACGTCGACGAGCACTCGGGACATCATGGGCAGCACGGCGGATGCGCAGCACGACGGGTACCAACGCCCATAGCACCGACGCCAGCATTGACCCCAGCACCGACGCCGACGCCTAATTCGACACCACTGCCGCCTAGACCTGCATTCGACCCGCGATCGAATGAACCCTGCTCCCGGCGTCTGATCCCACCCCATGGGATAACGGGTGCGCCACCCACCATTTCTATCCCTAGCTCCGACCCCCCAGCTCCGACGCCCAGCTACGACGCCAGCACCACTGCGGGCGCCTACGCCAGCGCCGACGCTAGCACCGACCCCAGCACCCACGCTTGTGCCTATGCCTTCACCGACGCCAACGCCTACACCTGCACCGACGCCAGCACCGACGCCAGCACCGACGCCGACGCCAAACCCGACACCAATGCCAGCGCCTTCACCTACATTCGACCCGCGGTCGAATACACCCTGCTCCCGGCGTCTTATCCCTTTCCATGGGATAACGAGTGCGCCACCCACCACTTCTATCCCCAGCCCTGACTCCGCAGCTCCGATTCCCTAGCTCCGACGCCAGCACCACCGCCGGCGCATACGCCAGCACAGACGCCAGCACCGACACCAGCACCCACGCTTGTGCCTATGCCTTCACCGACGCCAACGCCTACACCAGCACCGACGCCAGCCCCGACGCCAGCACCAACGCCGATGCCTAACCCGACGCAAATGCCAGCGCCTTCGCCTACATTCGACCCGCGGTCGAATACACCCTGCTCCAGGCGTCTTATCCCTTTCCATGGGATAACGAGTGCGCCACCCACCACTTCTATCCCCCTCCGACTCCCCAGCTCCGACGTCCAGCTACGACGCCAGCGCCACCACCAGCGCCTACGCCAGCGCAGACGCCTGCGCCGACACCAGCACCCACGCTTGTGCCTATGCCTTCAACGACGCCAACGCCTACACCTGCATCGACGCCAGCACCACCGCTGACGCCTAACCCGACAACAATGCCAGCGCCTTCACCTGCATTCGCCCCGCGGTCGAATATACCTTGTCCCGGCGTCTTATCCCACCCCATGGGATTCCATCTCCAGCTCCGACTCCCCAGCTCCGACGTCCAGCTCCGACGCCAGCACCACCGCCAGCGCAGACGCCAGCACCGACACCAACACCCACGCTTGTGCCTATGCCTTCACCGACTTCAACGCCTTCCAGCATCGACGCCAGCACCAACGCCGACGCCTAAGCCGACACCAATACCAGCGCCTACACCAGCACCGACGCCAGCACCGACGCTAGCGCCAACGTGGGCGCCTACGCCAGCGCCGACGCCAACACCGACGCCTGCATCCACGCCCTCGCTTTTGCCGGCATTAACGCCAGCGCCTACACCGGCGCGGACGCCAGCACCGACGCCAGCACCAACGCCTGCGCCTACACTGGCACCAGTGCCGTCGCCTGCACCAGCACCGACGCTTGCTCCGACGCTTACTCAAACGCCAGCGCCTACGCCTGACCCGACTCCAACGCCGACGTCAGCATCACCGCCTGCGTCTACTTCGACGCCAACGCCAGCGCCGACATCAACACTGACGCCAGCAGCACGATCGCCGGCGCATGTGGCAACAACGAACGCTGATGCCAGCACTAACGCCGGCTGTCCGACCCAGCCCCATGGACTTACGACGCCTGCACCAACGACAGCGCCTACACCAGCGACGACGTCAGCACCGACTCCAGCACCAACGCCGGCCATCTGACGACAACGCAGCAGAGGATTCATTAATCAAGCATAGCCGCGAGGACAAGGTTGACCAAGACAAGGGCGACCGACTGATTCCACTGCCCCTTCCAATGCCCACTTCCCTCTGTCTTCCCACCCCCATCTCCACTGCCTCACCGGCACCAGCGCCAACGTCGGCACCTTCGCCAGCGCCGACGCCAGCACTGACGCCAGCATCAACGCCTGCGCCTAACTACGCCAGCACTAACGCCAGCTCCTTCACCAGCGCCGACGCCCCTTCGCCAGCACCACCGCATGCGCCAAACGACACCAGGGCGCCGGTGAGCTGACCAGCTGACCGGTACGCGCCAGCATCAGCACCAGCGCTGGCGATTTCGCCAGGGCCGACGCAAGCACCGACGCCAGCATCAAGGCCTGCGCCCTAGCAGGCATCAACGCCGGTGCATACAACAGCGCCAACGTCAGCCCCTACGTCAACACCAATGCCCCCGCCTACGCCGACACCGACACCGGCGCACCTGTGAGCTGACCACTTGACCGGTGCACACTGGCGCCCGCACCAACGCCGTCACCTCGTCAGCGCCGACGCCGGCACCGTCGCCAGCCTCAACGCCTTCGCCTACGCCAGCACCAGCGTCAGCGCCTCCGTCGGCGCAACGATGAGCAGAGGGGACGATGGGGACGAGCAGATGTCCAGCTCGACGGAGTTGAGCACTTCCACGGTATCCATCACGACGGAGCTTAACACCTTCTTCGACGTGGCTGCCCTATCCCACTGTCCTGTCATAGAGGCCAGGCAGGCGGTGAGCTCTCTGAGCAGCCGGAGCTCTCCGCTTCTCCTGGGTCTCTTCTCCCTCCCCTTTTTTTTATTAGCTGCTACCCCAAGGGTGCGTCCACTCTGCCGCGTCCCGCCCCTACGTGGTAGGACTCGGGCCGACCTTGCTGGGGGCACCCAGGCTGATATCTCATTGCACCGCTGGCGAATTCGGTTTCCTCCCCCCTCCCTTCTCCTTCCTCCTCCCCTCCTTCCTTCCTCCCCCTTTGTATTGCTCGTGCTCGCGAGGGTTCCTGTGCGGGTGCCGTCAGCCTGGGTCGGCCCACGCGCGCGCGAGTTACTGTTTTGGCGTGTTCTCCCTCATCTGCGTCCTCCTCCT